TAGTTCTATTATTCAACGTCGCTTTGTCCTTAGAAATAGTTCAATTATTCAATATAGTTTTATCCTTAGAAATTGTTTTATCGTTCGACGCCTCTATTTCCTTAGAAATAGTTTTCATTCAACATAGTTGTAGTAATAGAAATCGTTCAATCATTCAACGTCGTTTTATCCCTAGAGATAGTTTTAGTTTTTAAACAATGTTGTATCACTAGAAATAGTTTTGTTTACATAATGTTTTATTCTTAGAAATGTGTCATTCGTTATCTTTTTATTCTGTAACAAATTTTTATCCAATTACGCCACTATCTCCTTAAATATTGTTTCCTCATCATATATCACTATTAACCATTTTCTTCTTTAACCACACATCAATTTATCCTTCGTTCTACTTATCTTTTGATTTTATATCTGTAAATCTCCGTAAATTGACCCTTGTTGCCATACTGCTCTTTCTCTCTCTCTCTCTCTCTCTCTCACATTTCAATGAGATTAGATTATACTACTAAATACATTTATTTTACCATAATTTCAGAGTTCAGTGTAAGATTGAATTCCATTAACTAAATTGTTGCATCAATAAAATTGAATAAGTCAAAGCTGTTACTAAATTCTAGCTTAAGGCATTTCACAAATTTTATCAATTCTAATTTAGAGTTACGTTATTTCAATGACATTTAATTTTTTTCTATAGTTGAAGTATTTCTCTATAATATGCAAAATAGTTTTTTTGGTTACTTGTTTTCTTGTAACCAAAAAACGCGTGTGATGATCATCGATCGGGTCAGACATCCTTACCTCCCCTTTCTCTAACGTTACCAGAGGTTTCGACCAAGGGGAGATGACTCTAACACTATCAGCAACCGATGCCCAAACAGATAGTCTGTTCATTCCTCAAGGGGCGCAACTTATTAGGTGAAACCGCAGGGATGATGGGATTTTGTTCAAACGGAGCTGAACTTAAAAAAAAAACACGAGGTCGAAATGGGGATGGGGGAGATGGTGGTGGTGGTTGAGGGGAGGGGTGGTGGTGAGGACGGGGGAGGGAGGAGTTTTTCTGTAAACAGAAGAGAAAACTTGTGTTCACGTGGTCAAACAGGTTGATTTTAAGGGTACCAGAAGACGAGTGATACTTTCCCAAATTATTATTTTCTGAAATTCTATGAAAACCCCAGTCTAAACCCCTCCCTACATATCCCATTTTGAATTAACATCCCGGACAAGTCCCTATTCACTGAAACACCGCTACATTTACTTCTTTGTTTATACGTTTGTTGTATTCTCCACTATCAAAACAATCCTACATATTCCTTTCCAAAAAAAATAATTCTACGAATTCCCTAATTAACAAAACAATCCTACATATTCCCTAAATAACAAAACAATTCTACAAATTTCCTAATTAACAAAACAATCCTACATAATTCCTAATTAACAAAACAATCCTACATATTCCCTAATTAAAAATACAATCCAACATATTCCCTAATTAATAAAAACAATCCTACATATTCCCTAATTAACGAAACAATCCTACATATTCCCTAAAATTAACAAAACAATCCGACATATTCCCTAATTAAAAATACAATCATACATATTCCCTAATTAACAAAACAATCCTACATATTCCCTAATTAACAAAACAATCCTACATATTCCCTAATTAAAAATGCAATCCAACATATTCCCTAATTAACAAAACAATCCTACATATTCCCTAATTAACAAAACATCCATACATATGTTAATTCCCCTCTATCTAAACATTCCCACGTATACCCCTTTTCGCCAAACCCATATACCTCTGACCAATAAAAACCACTGTTACATCACGTGATAACCGATAGGAACAAATAATTAAATCAAGACGTGAAACAAAATCACCATCACGTGGTACCCGCAGGTCAGAACTTGATTTAATTGAGAGATTAATGTTCGCGATTTAATCCAGCCCTAGACGCGCCTCTACCCCCGTCCGTATAAAATATGAATATAAAATATTGATTGTAGAATGTAATGGTTGTCTCGCGAATGAAACTGTCAAACAGCTGATTATAAAGCCCACAGCTGCGCATACAATGTCATTGAAATATCGCCGAACCTAATATAAGCCTACATTAGTGAATACATTTTACCGTGAAGTGTTTGATTTTAGTTTAACATACTGAAATACTTTGAAATCACATCAACTATCTATGCATGTATGTATATTTTTCACATTAAAATGTCAAGATCATTTATTCAAGTTATTATCGTATATCTATTTTCATAAATTTTTATAGATTTGTATAATTTGTGTATCTTAATTTCCTTATGTTTTCCTTGTTGTATAATATAAAATATATTTCTCTAGTTTTACCTCAGTGCATAATCCGTAACCTATACACCATTGCCTTAATTGTCTAATTTTACTAACATTTCGATTATATTTTATAATTTTACTTTAGTAAATATCATATATTTTTTCATAAAATTGCCTTATTTCTAATGCACCACCACTAAATATTAAGCTAATTTAGTTTTCTGTAATTTAAGTATGTGTGTAATCATCATTCACGTTTGTAATCAACCATGCTTACTCATGCATGAAGTCCATGTGTTGACAACAGTTCAAAGTTTACATTGATAGGTGCATATGATTCACACACTTGCATATCTAACGTTTACATAAACACTATTTTCAAAACTTATTGTTACAAAAGTCACATAGTTCATTGTTATAAGTATCACAGCCCATTTTTACAAATGTCACTCATCGTTATAAATGTCACACAACTATTTGTACAAATATCACACAGCACAACTTTACAAATGTCACCCAATTCATCGATATAAATGCCACACAACTATTTGTACAAATATCACACAGCACAACTTTACAAATGTCACTCAACTGAACGATATAAATGCCACACAACTATTTGTACAAATGTCACACAGCACATCTTTACCATATGTCATTCAACGCATTGTTATAAATGTCACACAAACAAGGACCATACAGATTTTACGCAACTTGGAATTTAGGGCTCAATTTACATTTAGCTGTATGAATGATATTTGAGAAGCAATCGAACTCTTATTTTTCGCCCGCTTAAATAGTTTTCCTTCAACATTATGTAAATTTGTTTTAAAGTTCAATGACATGAAAGAAAAAAATAACAGCAAAATGAGCCAAAACTAACAATATTAAAATAGCTTTACAAGTAATGAATCTTCGTTATATTTATTTTTAGTTTCAAGTGCTATAAACGGAATAAATACATTTTCATCGTATTTGTATTTAAATAACGACTCACTTTTGAGGAGTTTACCAGCTTTTGCTGAAATTAAAAAAAAAAAAAACATTTCAGGCTTTCAGACTCAAGTGTATAAAAAAAAGTGTCTGAGCATAAAAAAGAAATTAATTTCCGCTGCAAGAGAATTTAAAGCCGGGTTATTTACTCTTACACATCTCTTACACATTTGATTACATTCTTGCACCCTCTTTTATCGTCCGGCCCTTGATTCACTGTGTTTCACATAAAGCGAAGATTATCTTCCCTTGTTTTTTTCTCTTGTTTTTTAACCACTATCTCACCTCACTATCTCTTTCTATCTCGTTTTTATCTCATTTACCTAATCATGTTCCTCATCAGACACCCTCACATACAACTTTAAAGTCTGCCGCAAAACACAACACATTAAAGATTCATCTTGGGGCTAGCCGCCTCTCACACACCAGCATAGAAAGAAAATGTTCCAGAAGATTCCAAAAAGTTGATCACGGCTTAAGTGCTGGGTGAAGTGTATTTACAGTGATCGTCCATGTAATCCACCAAGAGTTATCCACTAATCTGGATAGTGGTTGCTTTCCCTTAGGTGTTAGCGAGTGACCGTTCTTGCACGAAGATCGGTGATGAGTTATATGTGGTCAAGATGGGATGGCCGGGGGAAGTCTGGTTGAGTTAATGTTTGGGGATAGCTGACCAGCAGTAGAGGTGAGTACGCTAAGGTCAGAGATTAATGTTAGCCTGATAGAGGTCAGGATGGTGAACTTGTCCTGTGTCTGAGACAGGGCTGTAGCCTGAACTCAGCTGTTGATGTGTCAAAGAGGGCTGTTTGCTGAACTCATCTGGTCGCTGAACATACAGGACAGCCTGCCGCAGGAGAACAGCCCTTTGCAGGGTGAGTAATTTGCGAACTGTTGATCAGCCTGTAACTGGGCTAAAACCATCACGTGACGTGATCTGTGTATTAGTAGAAGGTCAGAAGGGGAATATGACGTACTGCCTCAGGGCAATCAGCCTGCGACAGGTAACTAGCCTTTGACTGGGTGTATCACCTGCCACAGGTGACCAGCCTGCCACAGGGTTACCTGCCCTCCGTATGGTGACCCTTTCATATCAAGCCTTGTTGCAGGCTGTATCCTGAACCTTCTCTCAGTATAATCACCGTTTACCATAACCTCACACAAGTTGTATCTCATCAACAACAAAACAATCCCAACATGGATTATGTTGCAGGATCTTTTAATCTCGGTTAACTTCCCCGAGTGTTGCCATCTGAAGTTTACTGAAGGGAGGGATTCCTAACACCGAACAGTTGGGCATCTGACGATGTCCTATAACAGTTTAAGACCTTTAAAAAATAACTAAAGATCTTCAGTAGGCCTATCTCCCCTATCTCATTTGTTGGTACTGGCATCTTCAGTATCTCACTTGTTGGTAACGGCATAGAAACTATTCACCTTGATAACTTCTGTAGACTAAACTTCTGACGAGAAAGACGGACATAGCCTACCATCAGTTGCTAGAAAAAACTCAACTACGTCTCTGTTGAGAACGTAAACAGTCTTTGTTAAGAGTGAAGTATTTGCGAAGAAGTCTGTTTATAGTTTGTATGGGGTAGTTCAAACACGATCCAGCAATGTTTGCGGTTTTTTAAACAAAAACAAATCCACAGTTATAGCCAAATTTCGTTGATGGAAAAAAACACACACACACACCGATTCGGCTTGATGGACTACATGAGTATCACAGTTTTAGGAGAGCAAAGTCCTCCAGAGTCTGGATGCTAGAAACAGGAGGGACGTCGCTAGGAGAATCAGGGGCGTCGGGGGTCGGAGGGTCTTGGCACTGTTGCAGCCGTCCCTGGCGCACGCCTCCAGACAGCCGTAGATCATCTGCTCCTCCTCGCCGTGCATGAACCGGATGTCGCCGCAGTGGTGGCCCCAGTCGTCATTGCTGCAGTCTCGGACTGTGATCCTGGTGCCGTCAGCTGGGGGAGGAGAAAGGTGGGTTTAGTGGTGGTGGGTTTTGTGGTGGTGGTTTTAGCGGTGGTGGTTTTAGTGGTGGTGGTTTTTGTGGTGGTGGTTTTAGTGGTGGTGGTTTTAGTGGTGGTGGTTTTGTGGTGGTGGTTTTAGTGGTGGTGGTTTTAGTGGCGGTGGTTTTAGTGGTGGTGGTTTTAGTGGTGGTGGTTTTAGTGGTGGTGGTTTTAGTGGTGGTGGTTTTAGTGGTGGTGGTTTTAGTGGTGGTTTTAGTAATGGTGGTTTGTGGGTGGTTTTAGTGGTAGTTTTAGTGGTGGTGGTTTTAGTGGTGGTGGTTTTAGTGGTGGTGGGTTTAGTGGTGGTGGGTTTAGTGGTGGTGGGTTTAGTGGTGGTGGGTTTAGTGGTGGTGGGTTTAGTGGTGGTGGTTTTAGTGGTGGTGGTTTTAGTGGCGGTTTTAGTTGTATGTTTAGTGGTGGTGGTTTTAGTGGTGGTGTTTTTAGTGGTGGTGTTTTTAGTGGTGGTGGTTTTAGTGGTGGTGGTTTTAGTGGCGGTGGTTTTAGTGGTGGTGGTTTTAGTGGTGGTGGTTTTAGTGGTGGTGGTTTTAGTGGGGTGGGTTTTAGTGGTGGTGGTTTTAGTGGTGGTGGTTTTAGTGGTGGTGGTTTTAGTGGTGGTGGTTTTAGTGGTGGTGGTTTTAGTGGTGGTGGTTTTAGTGGTGGTGGTTTTAGTGGTGGTGGTTTTAGTGGTGGTTTTAGTAATGGTGGTTTGTGGGTGGTTTTAGTGGTAGTTTTAGTGGTGGTTTTAGTGGTGGTTTTAGTGGTGGTTTTAGTGGTGGTTTTAGTGGTGGTTTTTAGTGGTGGTGGTTTTAGTGGTGGTGGTTTTAGTGGTGGTGGTTTGAGTGGTGGTGGTTTTTGTGGTGGTGGTTTTAGTGGTGGTGGTTTTAGTGGTGGTGGTTTTAGTTGTGGTGGTTTTAGTGGTGGAGGTTTTAGTGGTGGTGGTTTTAGTGGTGGTGGTTTTTAGTGGTGGTGGGTTTAGTTGTGGTGGTTTTTAGTGGTGGTGGTTTTAGTGGTGGTGGTTTTAGTGGTGGTTTTAGTAATGGTGGTTTGTGAGTGGTTTTAGTGGTAGTTTTAGTGGTGGTTTTAGTGGTGGTTTTAGTGGTGGTTTTAGTGGTGGTTTTAGTGGTGGTTTTTAGTGGTGGTGGTTTTAGTGGTGGTGGTTTTAGTGGTGGTGGTTTGAGTGGTGGTGGTTTTTGTGGTGGTGGTTTTAGTGGTGGTGGTTTTAGTGGTGGTGGTTTTAGTTGTGGTGGTTTTAGTGGTGGAGGTATTAATGGTGGTGGTTTTAGTGGTGGTGGTTTTAGTGGTGGTTTTAGTGGCGGTGATTTAAGTGGTGGTAGTTTTAGTGGTGGTGGTTTTACTGGTGGTGGTTTCAGTGGTGGTAGTTTTAGTGGTGGTGGTTTTAGTGGTGGTTTTAGTGGTGGTGGTTTTAGTGGTGGTTTTAGTGGTGCTGGTTTTAGTGGTGGTTTTAGTGGTGGTTTTAGAGGTGGTGGTTTTAGTGGTGGTTTTATTGGTGGTGGTTTTAGTGGTGGTGGTTTGAGTGGTGGTTTTATTTGTGGTGATTTAAGTGGTGGTAGTTTTAGTGGTGGTTTTAGTGGTGCTTTTAATGGTGGTGGTTTTACTGGTGGTGGTTTCAGTGGTGGTAGTTTTAGTGGTGGTTTTAGTGGTGGTGGTTTTAGTGGTGGTGGTTTTAGTGGTGGTTTTAGTGGTGGTTTTAGAGGTGGTGGTTTTAGTGGTGGTTTTATTGGTGGTGGTTTTAGTGGTGGTGGTTTGAGTGGTGGTTTTATTTGTGGTGATTTAAGTGGTGGTAGTTTTAGTGGTGGTTTTAGTGGTGCTTTTAATGGTGGTGGTTTTACTGGTGGTGCTTTTAGTGGTGGTTGTAGTGGTGGTAGTTTTAGTGGTGGTGGTTTTAGTGATGGTTTTAGTGGTGATGGTTTTAGTGGTGTTGGTTTTAGTGGTTGTTTTAGTGGTGGTTTAAGTGGTGGTGGTTTAAGTGGTGGTGGTTTTAGTGGTGGTGGTTTTAGTGGTGGTGGTTTTAGTGTCGGTTTTAATGGTGGTTTTAGTGGTTGTGGGTTTTATTGGTGGTTTGTGAGTGGTTTAGTAATAGTGGTTTGTGAGTGGTTTTATTGGTGGTTTGTGAGTGGTTTTATTGGTGATTTGTGCGTGGTTTTATTGGTGATTTGTGAGTAGCTTTATTTATGGTTTGTGAGTTATTTTTATTGGTGATTTGTGATTGGTTTTATTTGTGGTTTCTAAGTGATTATATTGGTGGTTTATAAGTGATTTTAGTAATGGTGGTTTTTGATTGGTTTTAGTGGTGATTTAATAGTGGTCGCGATAGTAGTTTGTGAAAGATCCCAAAGGTGATTTGTAAGTGATCTCAATCCTGGATTGTGAGTGACGTTAATGGTGAACTGTGTCTGATCTTGAGTGATGAAGATGGTGGCTTGTGAGTGATCACAACAATGGATTTTTAAGCGATGTTGATGGTGGTTCTTGTGTATGGTGGCGGCGGGTTGTAAGAGATTTTAGATGAATTGTTGTGAGTAATTTAAGTTGAGATTGTGAAAGATTTAGATGGAAATTTGGTTAGTTGTTTGGAACTAGTTTAAATATGTGTTTGATATTGTTTCTAGTTTTTTCCAATTGATTTTTTTTAAAATTTGCTTGTGAGTTTTCGTATTTTTTTTTTTTTTGCCTATTTTCCCAACCATCCATCTCGTGTCACGCTAAAGTAACACCTCGGGGTGATAAAACAAATGACATTTTGTAAGGTGTCAGAAAGATGACATTAAGATGACATATGAATAATGCCATTCTACACTCATCACGCGCTCTCTAGCGCCATTAGATGCTCAGAGGGGATTTGGAAACTTCAGGTTTAGAGATTGGTTGTGGACATTTGAAAACTTAGGTTTGGGGATTGTTAGGTCGCTGACATTTCAAAACTTAGGTTTGGTAAATGTTTGGTCGTGGACATTTCAAAACTTAGGTTTGGGGAATGTTTGGTCGTGGACATTTCAAAACTTAGGTTTGGGGAATGTTTGGTCGTGGACATTTCAAAACTTAGGTTTGGGGAATGTTTGGTCGTGGACATTTCAAAACTTAGGTTTGGGGAATGTTTGGTTGTGTACATTTCAAAACTTAGGTTTGAGGAATGTTTGGTTGTGGACATTTCAAAACTTAGGTTTGAGGAATGTTTGGTTGTGGACATTTCAAAACTTAGGTTTGAGGAATGTTTGGTTGTGGACATTTCAAAACTTAGGTTTGAGGAATGTTTGGTTGTGGACATTTCAAAACTTAGGTTTGAGGAATGTTTGGTTGTGGACATTTCAAAACTTAGGTTTGAGGAATGTTTGGTTGTGGACATTTCAAAACTTAGGTTTGAGGAATGTTTGGTTGTGGACATTTCAAAACTTAGGTTTGAGGAAAGTTTATGGTGGAGGGGTTGAGGAGGTGGTCGCGGGGATCTTGTTTGAATAAAAGTGTATCAATCCGGTTTTATTTCCAAAACTTCCTGACTCAGCGGTAAGTACCAGAAGGGCGTCACATGGCGTTGTGCGTCGAGCCCAAGCTAAGCAAGTACTCTGGTTATTTGACTCCAAGCAAAATAGACACTCCTAGCCAAGTGAGTGTACGCTGTTTTTGTGACTCCGAGTCAAGTGTATGTCTCCTGTTTTTGTGACTCCGAGTCAAGTGTATGTCTCCTGCTTTTGTGACTCCGAGTCAAGAGAGTGTTCTCTGTAGTTGTGACTCAGGATCAAGAGAGTGCTCTCTATATTTGTGACTCCGAGTCAAGAGAGTGCTCTCTGTAGTTGTGACTCAGGATCAAACGAACATTATTTGTTTTTGTGACTCCAAGCTTGTCTCGCGTCATCCTCAAACTTATGTGACGCTGGTCTGGACAACGGGAGTTTTACATATTCAAGACCCTCAGCGTTTCATTTGCATAATAAAGAGCTGTCACGCTAATTTGCATATTCAGCGTGTGTGGAGGAGTGGAACATGTGTGTGTATGTGGGGTGGGGGTAGGGGGGGGGTGGAGAACGTATTCATTGCACGTGATGTTGTTTTACTGGCCGTGCAAGTTTACTCAGCGTGAGCGAGAAACGTGCGGCGATATTTGGAGTCATTAAACGTATTGTGCTCGTCTTTGTCAGGTCGGGGGTCAATGGATTACGATAGAGGGTTAACACGTAAAGGGTACAATAGGGTCGTAGTTTATATATAGTAGAATAGGATCGTAGTTTAAACGGCACAGTAGGATCGTTGTTTATAGGGTAAAATAGGATCGTAGTTTATGGGGTACAATCGGATTATGGTTTACAGAGTGCATCAGGATTATGGTTTATGGGAGAGTACTTTAGAACAGTGTTGGAAAATGGTTTAGAAAAACAAATTAAAATCTCATTTTAGCTGCAGTTTGAAACGGGGGGGGGGGGGGGGGGGAGGTGTGCAAATGGAGAGTTTGAGGAGGGTGGGGGGGGTGCAAATTGAAAATTGAAAGGTTGTTCCCGAGGGGGGCACCAAATTGAAAGTTTGTCCCCGGGCGCCGGGAAGGGTCGCTATATATGCTGTGACAAAACAGCTGATTCGCTTAGAAAATGTAAATGCCGGACATAATGCTGACTACACAATCCTTGTATCGATATACCAGAAACACACAGTTACGTGGAACTACCGCCCTAAAGAGATACTCTACTTCATACAACATTGATTCGTCAATACTAATAGTCAAAGTGTATTCAAACCTTACTATTTGCACACTAACACGAACTATTTGCGCACTTGCATGCAGTATCTGCGCACTAGTAAACACTATTTGCGCACTAGATGGCAGTATTTGAGCACGAACACTGAATATTTGCGCGCTAGAAGGTAGTATTTGCGCACTAGCAAACAATATTTGCGCACTAAAACATGTATCCATCAGTCCACGATAAATTGTGCATTAACAAACAAATTTTGCACTTAGAAAACTATTGGCGCAACAAAAATAATCCGATTACTTTAGGAACAAAAACTTGAGTCTCGTCGAGATGCAAAACCATTAGGAACACGCTATTTACACACGTTGAAAATACAAGTTTCTCTATTAAAAACAACACCCCTCCCCCAACACCCACACTTCCTCGCCTTACTCTCACTCTCTCACACCCACCCACACATCCTCCCCTCACTCACAAGCACACACACTCCCTCCAACTTCACATTAATGCAAACAGCACTGAACGACACCATTAACGTTTAAAAAATGTAGGCGGAAAAAAACGAATTGATTACCGATACGAAAATCTAGTTCAATACATCGACCTGAAATTCATCCGATGAAAGATAAACATTGACAAGGCCCCAACCTTTCTGATTAATATTATTTATCCTAGAAAAAGAAAACCTTTTCCTGTATCAAGAATACACCGGGATCGTCCACTGGCTTGTACGAAAAAAAAAAGGAAATTGGAAGAAAATGTTTCTAAAGATTTGAATGGCCCCAGACTTTAGTGTCAATACGTCGAATCTCATCGAAGGAAAAATGCAAGCATTGAGTGTGTCGGTAATGGGCCGAGAAAATGGGATTTTGGAGTTGGATATTTCGTCACAAAGCGCCGCAACAATCAGGGGTAGCTTTTTATATTTTTTATAGCAGACGCTGGGTTGTAGGGGGACGATAGCAGATTACCAGAGTCAGTGGACCATTGAGACGGGTGAACAATGGGTGAGTGATACTGGGTTATGGGATAAGGGAAGTGTATGACTAAAGGGGTGGGTGGAGGCTGGGGTGTGCTAACTACACGAGCCGAGGAGAAAACGATGAGAGGGGAACAGAGTTTCTTCCAGGCATCTTTTCGGGCGTCTCAGCCCCTCCCCCCGAAGAAAGTCTACCGCCCCCCCCTCCCCCCCCCCCGAACGAAATGGAAATTATATAGAAAACATAATTTTACCAGAGTCCGCCAGCCGGAAAATGTGGGGGGGGGGGGGGGGGGAGATGTTTGACTGCAGCAATCACAAAATAGTTCACATGTAGATTTAGCTGGAGAGAATTTTTGGTCTAGAAAAGAGAACTCTGGAGAGCTGTAGTTGGTGGCCCATATTCCAGCAGGACAGAGAACTCTGGAGAGCTGTAGTTGATGGCCCATACTCCAGCAGGACAGAGAACTCTGGAGAGCTGTAGTTGGTGGCCCATACTCCAGCAGGACAGAGAACTCTGGAGAGCTGTAGTTGGTGGCCCATACTCCAGCAGGACAGAGAACTCTGGAGAGCTGTAGTTGGTGGCCCATACTCCAGCAGGACAGAGAACTCTGGAGAGCTGTAGTTGGTGGCCCATACTCCAGCAGGACAGAGAACTCTGGAGAGCTGTAGTTGGTGACCCATACTCCAGCAGGACAGAGAACTCTGGAGAGCTGTAGTTGGTGGCCCATACTCCAGCAGGACAGAGAACTCTGGAGAGCTGTAGTTGGTGGCCCATACTCCAGTAGAACAGAGAACTCTGGAGAGCTGTAGTTGGTGGCCCATACTCCAGCAGAACAGAGAACTTTGGAGAGCTGTAGTTGGAGGCCCAATCTCCAGCAGAACAGAGAACTCTAAGGAGCTGTAGTTGGTGGCCCATACCCCAGCAGGACAGAGAACTCTGGAGAGCTGTGGTTGGTGGCCCATAATCCAGCAGGACAGAGAACTCTATTGAGCTATATTTGGCGGCCCATACTCTAAAGAATTTCAAATAGTTCTACCAGTTTTTGTATCCAAGCCAATTTAACCCAGTTAGCGTGGATTCTAAAGTTCACCCAGTTCTATAATTCACCCAGTTTTATAGTTCACCCAGTTCTATAATTCACCCAGTTTCATAGTTCATCCAGTTCTATAGTTTACCCAGTTCTATAGTTCACCCAGTTCTGTTTTTGCCAATAGTCCTAGAATGAAAGGCTCGAGGTACTGACGCCAATGTAATTAGAACAAGTCATGCGTGAACGCCTAATTTCTCGATTAATTTTGTGGTCTAGTGTACCGTACTGCGTAGTCGCTTTCAACTGTGAGTTTCCCTATTAACGTTTTGTGCCTTGTTCAACGTTTTTGCGTTTCGTTCAACGTATTGAGTCTCGTTCATCGTTTTGCGCCATATTCCACTGTATATGTGCGTTGAATGTTTTGTGTCAAAGCCTCGTGTGTCGTTCAACGTTTTGTGTCTTGTTAATGTGGTGTGTATTGTTCAACGTTTTTTTGTCTTGTTAATGTGGTGTGTATTGTGTAATACACGGTATCTCGTAAAACGCGAGGGAAGACGCCTCGATTAAAAAGCTCTTTAAATCAAACGCCCTATAGGGCAGATAAAGTCGTTCATATGTTTCTCTGACCTCGATGTTTGAAGCAGTAGTGTGGGCAGCAGTATGCCTAATGTGGGCAGCAGTATGCCTAGTGTGGGAACCAGTATGCCTAGTGTGGGCACCAGTATGCCTAATAGTGTTCGCAGCAGTATGCCTAGTGTGGCCAGTAGTATGTCTAGTGTGGACAGCAGTATGCCTTGTGTGGGCAGCAGTATGCCTAGTGTGGGCAGCAGTATGCCTAGTGTGGGCACCAGTATGCCTAGTGTGGGCACCAGTATGCCTAATAGTGTGGACAGCAGTATGTCTAATAGTGTGGGCAGCAGTATGCCTAGTGTGGACATCAGTATGCCTAATAGTGTGGGCAGCAGTATGCCTAGTGTGGGCAGCAGTATGCCTAGTGTGGGCAGCAGTATGCCTAGTAAGGGCAGCAGTGCACGATCACTAACTTGGAAGTCTAGAGTTCGGTTCACGGACTTGACTCTCTAGGACGCCACTGATAACAGTTACACTCGCCTCGTTTAACGTGCAACTTTTCGGACGACGTATTGTGTTTCTTGTAAAATATTGTTCCTGTGTCTCGTTCAACGCCTTTTATGTCGTGTAGCAAATTGTTAGCCGTGTAACGATTTGCGTGTCGTATAACAAACTGTGTATCGTATAAAGAATTTTTTTCGTTGTGTAGATTTGTGTGTCGTATAATGAATTGTGTGCCGTATAACGATGTTTGTGTCGTATAACGTCTTGTATGTCGTATAACGAAATGCGTGTAACGTAATGTGTCTCGTCTTGACCAAAATGTTTTGTGTCTCCTGTAAGTTAACCTGTATTTCTGCAACAAATTAACGTAACATTAAACCCCCATCATTCAGAAGTGCAGGCGGGTCCATTCAAGTAAAAGCCAATTTAATGTTAATTGAACCTGCCAATCAAATCGGACGTCTAGTTCTTTGAATTGAAACTACTACTTCGGCAATAGCTAATCCCTGGTCATTACAAAATAAGAGTTCAAACGTTCGATAACTGCTTGGATTTCTTATTTTCATTAGCGTTAAGCCAGGGAGATTAGTGTCCTATCCGTACAAATAGCTTGCGACCATTCTTTCCAAAGTGATTCGACCATTAGACACGCTAAGCTAAGCTGGTAAATCTCTGCTTTTTATTTTAAAAGGTCAGCTTCACAAAAAAAAAATTTAAAATTAATGGTGTTCTTAAAGTACGCTACTCTTTAGCTAAGCTTGCAAGATTGAAACAAATACTGCAGAGTACACAGTGGCGTAGCGAGGTCGGGTGTCACCCGGTGCGGCACTTAATGGTGTCACCCCCCCCCCCCCAGAGAGATAGAGACCCTTCCCAGGGACAAACCCTCGAGTTTTCGATTTGCACCCCCCCCCCTCAAACTTTCGATTTGCACCCCCCCCCTCGAGTTTTCGATTTGCACCCCCCCCCCCCTCAAACTTTCGATTTGCACCCCCCACTCGAGTTTTTCTCTATATATT